GTCCGCGGAGAATTTTTGACCGTCAAGGACGGGCGGACGGGCTGTTTTTCGAGCCCTGTGTTAAATAAAGCTCTCCAACTTTGTAGACTAAGTCCTAGTCATTCTACGTGACAATATGACGGTGTGTTTTGTTTTTTTGGTTTATTAATGGAAATAGCAATTACATGGAAACAATGTCGAAATAAAATAAAAAATTTAATTTTTCAGTTAAATTTTTATTAATATGATAAATCCTTATAGTAAATAAAAATATTAAAATTATGCATGATTTATACATAAATGTATTTCTGAGATATATATGAATTCATTATTTTATATAAATACTATTAAAACCAGAGCCATTTCCCTATTTCTGCCCTGTACAATGAATATGTAACTTTAGGGTGCTCTATGAAAAAGCCTTACGCTGTCGAGGTAAAAAAAAAAAATGTGTACATTTGTTTGGTATATATACTCAAGAACTAAAAAAAAATTAGCTGCGAATATTTGCGAATTTGGCTGATACATCGATTTTTATTGTTCGTGTTATTTTTATAATAATGATAAACTTAATGAAAAAATTATAAAAATAAATTTGAGATTATTATTTTTGTTATAACATTTTCAAAAACTTTTATATCTAGCAAAATAGATTCATTACTTTTTTTTAAATTCGATAATCGAATTTTCAGTTAACAATCTTAAATATTTTGATTCAATTTATTTAGTTTAAATTTGTTTTGATAAATATTTGCGATTTTACATCCATTACCTAATTTATTAAAATTATTAACCACAAATTTGTAATCAAAGATCTCAAAAACTACTAGTAAATAATTTTTATTTATTTATTTACAATTTTTTCAATAATCATCCGCCGTTTTGGATCCGCCAATTTTTCTTTTTCAAATTTTGACTTCATATTTGAAATCAGCGACCCAAAAAACCTATAGGTGATCAATTTTTAGAACATTGAAGTAAATTTTCTAATTTTGGCCGCATTTCTCCGATTTTGTCCCACTGTGCGGCTGTTCAACGACGGTTATAAAATTTAAAAAATTCTTCGTGAGTTCGTTAATGGATGCAATAAAAATGTCCCTGTGACTGCGGCTGAGCGTTAACGAGAATTACGTATTTAGAATCCCTTATAACTAATATTTAAACTTTGCCATTAACAAAAATAGATAATTAATAACTTTAAGTCGCACTTTCAAATCACTGGATTAAGCATTGGGAGAAACTAGCCATCGATGAGGACTTTTAGATGTAATTAAGCGGCATTTATGTTACATGGGGAGGAAAACCACGAAAATCTTCCACAGTTATCCTCGACGACAAGGAGATCTCAAGAACTTTCCAACCGATTTTCTTCAAAATTTTTCATTTAAAGTTACGCAGTCTGGAATAACAAAAAAATTTTGTGTACTTCACTGTTGAGAATTTTTGTGACAAATATTTAATAAAATAATAAAAATTATGATTTTTTATTAAAAACTACTTTTTTTTAAATATTTCTGGATAAAGGACTTTTATGATTAAAAAGAAGTGCAAAATATTTTTTTTCTAACAAAAAGTGAAATCAACATTTGAGGGGGCCCCAGCTATCGACTGACAAAACTATTGGCAATCGATATTTCAGATTGCATCGATCCTCTTTTATTATGATGGTCAAAATTCCAAACCTATCGAAAAAATGGCAAGTTCATCTTTGGATGTTTGATTCATTAGTTTAATTTAGGAAATAATTATTAAGGATGCAATTTTTTTTTTNGAATAAAATTTACTTAAAAGTGTTAATTTATTTCAAAAATAAATTGTCAATTTTTAAGCCTTTTTTTTTTTTTTTTTTTTCAGCCGCTGCTCTGTTTAACAAAAGAACTGAAGATAATAATCTGTTTGCAAATAGAAAACAAAATCTTTGAACACAGGAGGGGAAAAAAAACACACCACTTAAATCAAAAAAAAGGAAGAGAGCAAACGATTTCAGTAATTTTTTCACTTCACTGTAAAAAAGTAATGATGAAAAATTTAACAGTGAGGCTAAAAACCCAATACAGCGTGATGGAGAAACGTACGGAGTGATCATTATTTGAAAGGATAAGATTCCGAAAACGAAGTGCAGCATCACTTAAAAAAAAAAAGAGTTTCAAGGACAATATTTATAATGCTCTAAATGTTATTCAACTCCAAGTTCAAGGACTGAAGACATAATGCATATGTATCGCCATCTATAGGATATAATAATAAATAAAAGACTTCGCGGTTCTAATTTTGATTTAGTCGTTATGATAAATGTTGCAATGCGTTCGTGCCCAGATTTTCAATTTTTCACCCAATGTCCATGAACATTTACTATGTAATTAAGAAAGCAATTCTTGATTAGTGCAATTATTCTATTATAATTTTTATTCCAAAAAAAGTTGACCGGTGGAAGGGGCGGGCAAGACAAGCGGTCGCCTGGAGCCCCAAGTTACAGAGGCGCCAACCGAGATCCAGATTTAATGTTCTCTAAATTATTGATTTCCTCCTTTATTAAAATATTATTTGTTTGAAAGATATATTCATGGGTTTTTAATTTTTAATTATACATTCTTAGATTAAATTTGTATGGTTAAGATTATCTTCGTAAAAATTTAATTTAACCTTCACGCTAATATTCCCAAAAAGGTAATGCTAAAAGAAAGGAGTGACCTAATAAAATGACCATGTGGACTTAGGTATATTTTCATTTAGCTCACTACCTTTTAAGAAAAATGGGTTTTTTTTTTTTAATGAAACATCACTTTGAAATTTAAGCAATCAGAAAATTATTATTTTTTTTACTTTAACTTACTTTTTATTCAAAAATAAAAAATGAATGATTTTTTTTAAACGCTATGGCTCGATGTGTCATTCATTATTTTACTATATTTGGCCTTTTCTGTTATTCTTTTTTTTTTTCTTAAATAAAAATTTCTGAGAAATTTAAAGAACTTCCTCAGAAATTTAAAATTCACCAGAGAAACAATTTAAGTGGAAAAACGAGTTATAATTATTTCTTTTTAATTCCTTTTCCGAAATTGTTCGGAGTAAAAGAAGCTCGCAGCGTGGAAACGTCTTCCGCCGTACCGCTTAACTAGGTAACCTAATTAAGTAGTTCAATGTCGTGGTGGCTCATGGGATAGAGCGCTTGCCCTCTAATGGGGTGAACGGGTGAATTCCGCACCCGGCTCGACCACAGTGCTGTTGCAAAATATCCTTAATAATAGATGGACCATGGATTTGAGTCCCCTTGCCGTCAGGCTAACCGTTAGAGGTTTTCCTCTCCATGTAACACAAATGCGGGTTAGTTCCATCAAATAATTCTCCACAAAGGCAAATTTTTCTCAATACTTGATCCAGGAGTTCCTTTGTCTTCTGAATCAGGTTCAAAATTACAAGGATACGGAGGTGAACATTAGTTATCGTAAACCCAAAATTGGGTCGGCTGTTCGACGACGGTTATAAAATAGAATAAAATTAGTTCTGATAATATTTTAAGTTACGGCATCTGAGACAGCGTACTTTCTCTGAATAAAAATACATTTTTTTCCCGACTTTCCGGATTTTTGACGCTTCAAAATATTGCGGTAGTCGCAATCAAAAAAATAAGTTTAGGACCCTTGATACTGAATTTACCTTTTGCTTATTTCGCCATATCTCAAAAAGTTTTAATTGGAAGAAAATTAACCGCAGTTATAAAATTCGTTTGTCTAAAGATAATTCCATGCAAAAAATAACTTTTAATATTCAATTAGCTTTTTTTTTTAAATCTTATTTAATTGTCGAGAAAGTTTTGATTTTAAAGCATAAAAATTGTAACACTATTTATCGGTGATAATTTTTTCGTTAATAATTTTAATAATTCGTTGATAATTTTTTCGTTCGTTTCGTAATCGGTGATAATTTTTTCGTTTATATTATTATTATGTTCTGATTTTCAACTATTTATATATTGGAGGTAGCTGCAGAGAAAGGGAGAAGAGATGTCAAAAGTTTGGGTTGTCAATTTCCTTTTTTAAGTATTTCACCCCATCTTAAGGTCTGGTTTCTTAGGACAAGCGCCTTATCTGGGCTAAGGCTCCTATACTATCAGAGCTGACCTATCAAGCAATATTGGAGCAAAAAAGTTCACAAGTATATTAACTTGTATTCTCAGGGNTTCAGCTTATATGTCAACAAATCTCAATTCATTTCAAGACAAATTCATAACTAGACTAGATATAACACAATATATAGCTGCAAATTTAACTCTGGGTCTTAAAACCTAATTTAAAGTAATTTTTGATAAAACTATAACAAAAATCTTCATTCCTCTAAATAAATATCTTATAAAATAGTCTTTTTAAAGCAATTATGTTCATAATTGCCTTAATAAACTTCATAATTAAAATCGGGATACCACCAAAAGAAGATTGATTATTTAGGGCTCTGTGGCGAACATGATCGTGAACAGCGGATTTAGACAGTTAAAAAGCTCTTAGATTAAAAGATCACGACTGTTTTTTGATATCTTAACACGTTGAACGCCACGCTAATTTTACATGACTTGCCCATCTGGTCACGGTAAATAACTACAAACTAAATTTGCAAATATTAGACGGATTTTGCTATTTTTTTAGAAGGTTTATCATGACATATTTGACAAAAGTGGTGAATTATATAAGCCTACGAATTGTTTAAAAATAGTGATGCATAAAAATCTACTCAATTGAATTTATTAAACCAAGAATCACAATAATTAAGTAAATTTTGAATAAGTTTTCTGCAATTCCATAAAAGAGTGTAATTTTTATAGTTCTATATCATGTTATATGCTGTCAGCCATCTGTTTTTCACGGTCTATGTGAAAGGTCAGTGTCAGCCACCGGTGGTTGACGCGGACTAGATGTAATTTCAGTGTCAGCCACCGGTGGCTGACGCGGCCTAAATGGAAAGTCCAGTGTCAGCCACCGATGGTTGACGCGGCGCTCAACGTGTTAGCGGTCATAGTTTTTACTAGTACAGTATCATGTTTCTCAAGAGAAGTGTTCAAAAATTTGAAGTACTTCGATTGCCAGTTTGCCAAGCCTTTGGGCCATTTCATTGTCTAGGCAGGAGACAGACTTTTGGTCTTCAGACAAATCTTCTAGTCTAGTTCCACCAAATTCTATAAGAAAAGAAAACACAAATTCTAATTATAAAAAAAAGAATCTAAACTAAAGAAGAATAACATATTTTCGTGTTAAAAAATAAAACAAGAATAAATACAAAGACGGCAAGACTACCAGTTAAAAGGCTATAAAAATACAGAAATACTTCGGAATTGAGAGGAATATGATTAGAACGGTTATAAATAAATGAGGCATATGAGCTCTGGGCTGCCAACTATTATACTTTTGCAAAATATTGTTAAGGCGGTAGGCAATTAAAAACCTAGACTCAATTTTTAGAGTAATTTTGCAAAAATTTTTAAATTTTCTCCAAGTAAAACCTCTACAAAGTGGTTTTCTAAATTTAATTTTGAATTTATTTACAATTAATGGTGCGAAAAATAACTTTAAATCAAAATTATAGAACGAAGAATACTACTTTAGAAACTTTAGTACAGCTCGAAGAAATTTGCCACGGGCAAATAAAAAGTATAAAACATGGTGACTAATAAAATTAAAAATTTTATTTAAAACGATGAAAATTAGCAACTTTTTATAGCATATTTTTTTCCAGTTTACTAAAGTGAATTTGTTCGCTTTAAATGTAAATAATTCGAAATTAAGTCCTAATGGTAGTCACAATTGACTAATTAAAGGTATCCCTGCATTTATGGGATAAACTTAACCCCTTGGGGACGGGTGAATCAGAAAAGCATTCGTACAAAATCAGAATCAGGACGTAATTTAAAAAAAATGGTAACTTAAATGTGAGAGTTGCTAATTTGACAGACTTACTTTGCTTTTACTTTAATTATTGTTATTTTAATCTTATATGTAATCAATGTTAGTTCAAAGTATAATTAACCCTTTGACGGTCAGGGAAATGAGCAGTTTTCGTTTCATTAATTCGCACAGTATTACGTGCAAACAGTAGTCGAAAGTGGCATCTGTTTTCCCCCTCCGTTCTTCCGAAAATGTCACCCTTCTCTGGCGATGCCAACTGCTCCGTCTTCTGGAATTGTTATAATAAAGTGGCAGCAAATTATGTAGTAAATTTCCTTGGAGAAATACAGTTATACGCCTACTTTTTAATAGAGTAACCAGTAGATTGTTGCTTTAACGGTGCATTTCATATGTTGCTTATAGTTTTTGATATTTAGTGGTGAAAAAATTACTTAAAAGGAGAAATGCTAAACTGAAAGTAACTTGACTTTCGCCATCACTAGGAAATACTATTTTACAAAGCGGAGCAAGTTGGCATCTCTGGATGCGGTAGATAGCTCGCCTCACGTGTTTTAAAAATTTCTTAAAGTACATATGAATTACGTAGTACATATAAATAACAGTTTTTACGTAATTTTCGTTTTTAACATAGTCAATGCAGAATAATAATGGCGAACGAGCTCAACTCGTCAGCGCGCATTGGGGAAGGAAAAATTTCCCTACGCGAGTAGTGCTCGTTACTAACCATTACGGTCAAAATCTTGCTCCCGAGCGGAACTCGTTTGCGCGCATTATGAGGAGCGATTCGATTGCGAGCTGAACTCGTTCATAACCGTCAAAGGGTTAAATAGTTTTATTTTGAACAAAGTAATGGTGAATTAAATAAATCAAACAATTATAACTCCGCCCACAAATAAACTGTTAAAGAATTACTTTGGTTACCAGTTTTATCTTTTTTCCCTGGTTGATACGATTTTATGCTGGCACGTATTTGTGACAGTCGGGGCAAAAGAGTTAATAGCCATAAAAACTGGCAAGAACTTATAAAAGCTTTTATAATATTATTCTTGGAAAAGTACTATTTCATACGATTGAAGAGTCATTTGATCACAGAGTTACATCATATGAGTTCTGAGTCATATGAGTTCATAGTTACTCATATGAGTGCAGAGTTACTTCATACGTGTGTTAAGTTATATGAGTGCGAAGTTACTTCGTATGAGTGAAGAGCCATTTGAATGAAGTTACATCAAATGAGTACTGAGCTATATAAGCGCAGAGCTACTTCATGTGAGTGGAGAGTCGTAGGGGTGCAGAATTACTTCATATGAGTGCAGAACAATCAAAGAATAGTCATAAGACAATGTATTCTCAAAATTTCGAAATAAATGTTAAACGCTACGTTGTTACAATTCGTTTCTAAGCACCAAGAAAAGAAAAAAAAACAGAGTCGGCATTCCATTTTAAGGAATTCATCGGTATCGAGAATTGAATTCACTAAATTGGATTTATTCGCAATATCGGTGTCTAAAACAATGAAATATAGATTTCCAAGCTTAATGAGACTAATGAGAGATTTAACGTACACCTTTTAATAACCGTCGTTGAACACCCGATCCAATCTTGGGTTTACGACTACTAATGTTCTACTCCGTAGCCTGGTAATTTTGAACCAATCCGGAAGACAAGGAAACTCCTGGATCAGTACCACCAGAGATATTGATTTGTTATGGGAACTTGGAGGATTTTGTGGCTCGACAGATTTAAAGTGCACCAGTCACTACTTACTACACGGGGAGTCTTTGACCGGCAGGAATCGTTTTCACGACCTCTTAGATAAGGGTCCAGTGCCCTGCCTAACAGGCTATCCCGGCCCATTATTAATAGTTTTAGATATCGCCTAATAAAGGCCGGGATAGCCTGGTTAGTAGGGCACTGGACCCTTATCTAAGAGGTCGTGAAAACGATTCCTGCCGGTCATAGACTCCCCGTGTAGTAAGTAGTGACTGGTGCACGTTAAATCTGTCGAGTCACAAAATCCTCCATGTTCCCACAACAAATTATGCCTCTGGGGGTACTAAATTGAAGACTGGTCGTTCTCTGGTTCCGGTCAAAATTACGATCTGTGGATGTAGGAATATGTCCGCTCTATAAATGGGTGTGACATATGGGTGTAGCAGAAGTCAAACTCTTGGCCATAGATGGCGCCACTGGAAAACTAGAACAATTACACCCCTTGTCTTAAAAGGCTTACCACAGCAACAACATAAATAATCGAATATTACCATCCATAACTTCCTTCTGGAACTTCGATCCGATAGTCAGTTCTTCTATTGTGGGAACATCATCCCCGTTCTTCTTCAGTACATAAGTATCAGGCTCAACGGATCCAGACACCACAGTCTAAACAAGAGTTTTTTTTATTTTATTTTATTTTTTAACGATGAATCAATTGAGAGTTAAAACTATAAAATTAAATTTGCAAGAGATTCAAAAAGATTTATAAATAGTAATACAGTAAATATAGTAAATAATTATAGTAATATAGTAAATGCAAGAGTTCTAAGATGTTTGGTTATAATAAAACTACTGAAAGTCTTAATTTAAATGTTGTAAAATAAGTATCCTAGGATGTTTAACAGAAATAAAGTCTTAGTTTTAGCATTGTAATTCTAAGAATCCTAAGATGTTTAAATTCAATTTAGTAAGTTTCCTTAGTTGTTTGAATTTAATTAAAAATACTAAATGTGACAGTTTCAATATAGTATCTACAAGCGTAATAAGATGTTTGAATTTAATAAAAATACTTAAATCTTGGTTTTAATATGGTATATCTAAGCATCCTAAGATATCTAAATTTATTAAAAGTACTGAAAATCTAAGCTTTAATATGGTAAATATAAGCATCCAAAGATGCTTGAATTTAATAAAAATATTGAAAGTCTTTGTTTTAATATGGTAAACATAGGCATCAAAAATGTTTGAATTTAATGAAAATACTCAATGTCTTTGTTTTAGTATTAAAATTGTAAACATCCTAGGATGTTTAAATTTAATCTAGTAAGTTTTCTCGGCTGTTTGAATTTCATAAAAATACAGAAAGTCACGGTTTTGATATAGTAAATATAAGCATCCTTAGATATTTAAAATTAGCAAAAATACTGAAAGTCTAAGTTTTAGTATGGGAAATGTAAGCATCTTAAGGTGTTTGAATTTAATAAAAAATATTGAAAATCTTAGTTGTAATATGATAAATATAAGCAGTGTTCCATGTTTGACTTTAATGAAAATGCTATAAGTATTTGTTAATATGGTGAATGAAATCGTCGTAGCGTGTTTGTTGTAATAAAAATGCTGAAAAACTTTTATATAGTAAATATAAACATCGTTAAATGTTTGAATTTAATGAAAATGCTGAAAGTCTTATTTTTAGTATGGTTAATATAAGCATCGTACCATGTTTGAGTTTAATGAAAATTTTGAGAATCTTTGTTTTAAAATGGTAAATATAAACATCGTAGCATGTTTGAATTTAATGAAAATGCTAAAAGTCTTAGTTTTAGTATGGTTAATAAAAGCATCGTACCATGTTTAAGTTTAATGAAAGTTTTGAAAATCTTTGTTTTAAAATGGTAAATATAAACATCGTAGCATGTTTAAATTTAATGAAAATACTGAAAGTATTACCTTTAAAATGATAAATATAAATATCCAAAATTTTTTGACTTAAATAAAAAACTCTGAAAGTCTTAATTATTAAATATTATATGCATTTTAATATGTTTGAATTCAATAAAAATTTTGAAAACTTTACTTTTAATATAGTAAATATAAACGTCGAAACATATTTGAATTTAATGAAAATACTGAAAGCTTCAATATAGCAAATATAAACATCGAAACATGTTTGAAGTCATTGAAAATGCTAGAAGATTTAGATTTAATTTATCAAACATATGTGCCTTCAGGCATGTCTATTAAAATAAGGATTGTTTTTGTAACCCCCGTAACTTAAAATATCATCACCACAAACTGATTAACATATTTAAATTAGTGTCCCTGAATTCATCGAGAGAAGCATCACTGTGCATGAAAATCGAATAATTAAGTTAAAAATTATAAAGCTGTTCTTTATTTTGGTACAGTATTCTTTAATACTTGCATTTTAATATCCAAAGATTAAAACAAATTAGAATTTTAAATAAATACCTCTCCCAAACCATAGTTTGCTGTGATAGTAATACTGTTCGGGTTGTTGCTGACTGGATCACATGTAAACATAACTCCCGACACCTGACATGCAACCATCTCTTGAATCACAACGGCCATCGGCGAATTTAAAAGCTGACCATGCTGTCTGCAAAAAATCCAATTACATTTTGATTACTTTTAAACTTTTCACAGTGTTTTTAGAGTTATAAATAAATAAAATCTGAAAATAGCTATTTACAATGCAAAAAAATATATATATATGTAATAACTTAGGATCAAATGCGATCAAATTTTTAACTATAATCCCCCCCCCCCTATTTCCTGCTCAGACGATCCTGCCGGTATGAAATGTGCCAGAGCACATTTTTCGTACCTTTGTAAGAATTTCATCTTACGAACTACCGGCCTGCGTCAACTGCCAAGGAGAACACCTGACTTCTTTTACTGGTTGTGGCTGAATATCCAAGACCACACAGAAGAAAAGGCTCCACCGAAATGTTGCCACCCCATCTTCTCAATTTCTGCAGTTCTTGAAAGAAATGCTACTAAAGACGAGAACTCTTCTCCAACCCCTTCTCTTCAATATCAAGACCAGTGGTCGGAAGGAGCGCAACTAGTGAAACTACTGTGGTCGCTGCATTTTTTTGCGTTGTTTGTAATGTATTTCAACAGGCATAATTTATATTCATAATAATTTTACGATGAACATTAAGTAAAATTTGCTCTTCAAATTGAAAATTCGCTTTGTAAAATTGTATTTCTGTAAGTAGGAGAGAGGTGGACAAAAGTTTTAAATTTTTCTAGATCTGAATAAACAATCTTTTCTGTCTTCGATAATATCAAAATTCGCGGGATGAGAAAAGCAAATAAAATGCTCACAAGTTCTCTATGTGTCGATCCCTTGCTTAGTCGGTATTTTTAGTAAATGTCTGTTTCCTTTTATACCATGATCCTTATCCCCCCTCCCCTGTTTGTGAGGAAAAAAAGGATTACGGGCAAAAAAATTTCTTTCCCCACTACAGTTTGTGTACAGAAAGAACTGGCCCCGCCACAATACCTGTTGCTGTCTGCTGCTATGGAAACAAGAGGGTAGCTTCTCTTCACTCTAGGGCAAACACAACAGACCGAGAAAAAAGATTCCCTTTCTCTCGTCTAACTGAGCCAATACCTGTCCTAAACAACGACCCCACACCACTATGAGAAATAATTATATTTCGTTGCCATGGTCATCCCCGCGGGTCCAGAGAAATGGCTAGGGGAAATCTTACTTTAAGCAAACTTATTTGTCTACGGTAAGAACTCCCCCCGCCACAATGCTTGACTCCGTTTGCTGTTATGGAAACAAGCGCATTTTTGGGAGGGTATCTTTTCTTCACTCTAGGGCTAACACATTAGACAGCTATTCCTCGCTATTTTACTTGCACTGGATATATCTAGACTGTGTATATTATTATAGAATCATGGAAATATTTTTAAAAACATAATTCGAAAGAAATTATAGTTTATTAAGGGTTTCTTTAAAATAGTTCATGAAAACTTTCTTCTCTTACGAGAAACAATGGAATTAATTCAATTGAAAAAAATCCGTGATATCGAATTAAATTATGTATTTAAATTTCATGTTATCTTGTTGAAAACAAGAAATTGTAACAATAAAGTTATAAGGATCTAGTAGTAAACAAATTGAAAAAAGGAAATAGATTTTCTTCAGAAACTTAACATCACTAAATCAATCAGGATGGCGGACGAATAAAGTTGAAGAAAGAAATACGTGTCACTGAGGAACAGGAATCATCATCCACTAATCAAGATGGCGGAAGAAAAGAAATAGATTTTTGTCAAGAATGGACCATCGCTATCTAACGATGAGGATGGCGGATGAATAAAGTTGAAGAAAAAAATACGTCTCACTGAGGAACAGGAATCATCATCCACTAATCAAGATGGCGGAAGAAAAGAAATAGATTTTTGTCAAGAATGGACCATCGCTATCTAACGATGAGGATGGCGGATGAATAAAGTTGAAGAAAAAAATACGTCTCACTGAGGAACAGGAATCATCATCCACTAATCAAGATGGCGGAAGAAAAGAAATAGATTTTTGTCAAGAATGGACCATCGCTATCTAACGATGAGGATGGCGGATGAATAAAGTTGAAGAAAAAAATACGTCTCACTGAGGAACAGGAATCATCATCCACTAATCAAGATGGCGGAAGAAAAGAAATAGATTTTTGTCAAGAATGGACCATCGCTATCTAACGATGAGGATGGCGGATGAATAAAGTTGAAGAAAAAAATACGTCTCACTGAGGAACAGGAATCATCATCCACTAATCAAGATGGCGGAAGAAAAGAAATAGATTTTTGTCAAGAATGGACCATCGCTATCTAACGATGAGGATGGCGGATGAATAAAGTTGAAGAAAAAAATACGTCTCACTGAGGAACAGGAATCATCATCCACTAATCAAGATGGCGGAAGAAAAGAAATAGATTTTTGTCAAGAATGGACCATCGCTATCTAACGATGAGGATGGCGGATGAATAAAGTTGAAGAAAAAAATACGTCTCACTGAGGAACAGGAATCATCATCCACTAATCAAGATGGCGGAAGAAAAGAAATAGATTTTTGTCAAGAATGGACCATCGCTATCTAACGATGAGGATGGCGGATGAATAAAGTTGAAGAAAAAAATACGTCTCACTGAGGAACAGGAATCATCATCCACTAATCAAGATGGCGGAAGGGCAAGTTGAAGAAAAGAAATAGATTTTCGTCAGCAACAGAACATCGCTATCTAACAATCAGCTTGGCGGATGAATGAAATTGAGGAAATGAAACTTGTTTAGTCAAATTTGCTGTGTGGGAAAACTCTCAAGATGATGCTATTCATCACAGTTTTTCTCATGAAAAAGTTTGTATGAGGGAGAAATTTCCATCCTTAAACAAACATTCAAACCATAAGGGGAAAAATAAGAAATTCTGAAATAGTACTTCCTCAAAGGAAAACGCCATATTTATCGGTTTCAAAAAGACAGAGCCACAGATCTAAAATAGAGGGAAGTTAATTTGATTAGAGAAAGGATTTAAACCAATCAGGGTCACCGATACCCAAATTCTTACAAAATATGATGAGGAAGAAACTTTTCCTCAAGTGAAGGGGATGCAAAAGGGTAGATGTGCAAGGACAGAATCGAAAATCTCTTTGAAACCGGTCAAGAATGTGGCATCGGTGACGGCGAGTAACAAAACTCATGGTAACAAAGGTAAAGAACGGAAAAAATATATACGTAAAAAAAAAAAAAAGGAACGGGTGACCTTAATTGAGACAAAACTGAAACGATAAAGAAAAAGGAAAAGGATTCAATCAAAACATAAAGAAATAGCCATCATAGGCAAAGATAAGAAAAAAATTAGATAAAGTTTAAAAGGGAGTAGGTAGAATTAAAAAAATGGAGAAAAAAAATCTAAAATAACAAAATTACAATTGATTAAAAAATTTAATTAAAGAATAGATATAGTCACTGTGACAATATTAATATTTTATTTCAACTTAGCGAAGGATAGTTACACATGAATTAAAAGCAATTTGCTAGATATGGAGTCATACACAAATAAAGGAATATGGAGAGCCATGATTGAGTCCCTATGCTGCAATTTGGAGTAAGGAGAAATATATATGTGTATACATTTTATATGCACTTAATCGTCGGAAAATAAACTTACTTTAGATAGTAACGCCTACTTTCTCTTCATTTCTTTACTCTGCAGTACGAACAACAGATAACGTTTGGTAATATCATCTAAAGTTAAACCACGAGCAACGATAAGAAAATTTAATTTTCAAAAATATAATATAGTTCTCAAGGTTAAAATTTTATAAAATTTCAGAACATGTGGAGAAATTTCCCTTATTTAAAAAAAATAATTCTACTTGATAATAAGATTTCTTTCTAGTAGGCGAAGGACGGTTACACATATTCATCAATTCATATTCATATATCATATTCATATTCATCTATCATATTCATCAAAGCAATCTGCAAGACACGGAAGAAGAAGTCAAACACAAATGGAAAAGATGGAAAGCTTTGATAGATGATCAAATAGGGAGTAAAGAGGAAAATATATCCTATATTTTTCATTTATTTATTTTTGACAGTGAATCATCCAAAGAGCAATAAGCATAAGCATACGCCGTCATTTCCTTGACAGCGAATCATCCAAAAATGGTTTGAAAAACATTAAACAGTAACGCCTACTTCCTCCGCAGTCCGCAACTTGCATATGGTAATGACGATCTTAACTAAAATGGATAATAATGTGAATTAACTTTCATTTTCAAAAATGTAATGTAGTTCGCAAGATTAAAACTGTTAAATATTTTTGGAATTCCAGAACATTTTGATACTTCTCTCTTATTTATGCGCTAACAACGAAACGGATGATATGAAGTATCGTAACTGTATCTGGCTATCATTGGGAGTGTTATATCGTTACTACAAGCCATTGTGTTGTCCTTGCATCATCATTGATGAAAGCTGATGTATAAAAGTCTTTTAAAAATAGTATCGTAATCAATTTTCACCCATGTTTCAAAGCGCTACTATATTATTACAATATTAGCATATCTACCAGTATTTAAAACTATTAAAAATTAATAAAAAAATTTTCGGAGGATAACTCCCTCTGTAAACTCACAAAAAACCTTAAAAGCAATAAAATTATTAATAAGCCAATTCACGGCAAACAAGGCCTAGTGTACACGGCCCGTGAAAAGGCCGAGGCTTTCGCAGATTCAATGGAAGAACAATTCTCCGAAAATACAAATAACTGTGATGAAGACTTTGAAAATATTGTTCTTCACGAAAATAGATTATTCTTCAACAATAATAGGCCCATTAACAACCTAGAACCAACAGATTTTCACGAAACTAACACTATTATCAAAAAACTCAAAACCAACAAGGCCCCAGGGGGAGACCAAATAACTAATAAAATGATAAAAGCCCTCCCACAAAATATCGTTAACGAACTCATCATTATATTCAATAAATGCCTAGCATTATGCTACTATCCAGAAAAATGGAAAGAAGCCATAATTATTCTGTTTCCAAAGCCACTTAAAGACCCAGTCATG